ACCATAATAGACAACAAACAAAATGGCTGGAATGGAATTGAATTGACTTTTGACAATTGACAAGGTTACTTTGCCGTAGATGGAAAAATATTATCCCCTTATATCCCCTATACATGTTAGCTACGTTATAAGGTGGTGAAACGAAAACGTTGCACAAATAACATAACAACTCTGTCTGAGATATATCTGATGAACCTAAAATCAACATATCACAATATTATCTAATGGTATTGATATCAATATTGATGCAACGTGTCATAAACGTTTTACTTCATAATATTATGTTGGATACTTCAGAAGGACATTATGGCAATGTTATTTCAACAATATCACAAAACTTATAACTGAAAAATATTTTTGTTATGTATCATGTTTAGTGGGTGGATGGTGTTAGCGCTCTTATTGCAATGACTAAACGTGCTATCACCGCCCATGTGCGACATATTCATTGCATCTGACTGTACAATACCTATGGTATGAAGAGCACGCTTTAGCCTTAGCGAAATTCTGTCGTTCGGGTGAATTCGAATGCTCACATTGCGTTCGCCCTAGACTCTAGTCTCATACTCGTATTAGGATTATATGCAGGGAGCAATGGTTATAATATTATAATATTCCAAACATGTATTATTTCATCGGGTTCATCTCTCATTTCCTTTTTTGATTAGAGGTGCATTGGTGTCATGAATCATAAATTGAATTTTATTTCGATTTCAGTTCATAGATTCGTTCATTTCTCCTCGCAAACTTATAAAAAATTAGTCTAAGAGATAACAGCATTTTCGTTATATTTGGTAATTCTACATTTATTTTAGATTACTGATATGGTTGTTTTTGATGGGGTGTAAAATCAATAATACCATACATTAGTCGCTTCGCGCTTAGGTAACAAAAAATGAAACTTGTTGGTGATAAGTTTCTAGTGAAAACTGTCTTCGAGACTGAAAATACAATGAGATCAATTTCAACTCAAACGAAGGCGAAAAATGGAGAAAAATCATCAAATGATTGTATTCATAGTATACCTCGTGTGTTTGAAGAGAGTATTACAGGTGAAACAAGAAGACCTATCTCAGTATGAACTAAAAAACAGAAAATTTATATCGATTGCTGGAAACCACACTTCGATATCTCTAACCATTTCCAGGAAATATAGCCAACTATAAAAAGGAACTAAAGTTGGTTTTGGCTGTAGAAAATCGGATAAAATAGACTATTCAAAAATAAATATTTCAATAAATGTATATTCATCCTTGCTATCAATATAACGTATTTCTCTTTGCAAATACATTTTGTTGACATTTTAACTTATAGTTAGCCATAGAAAATAAGAATTTCTCAGCATTACAAAAAAATAAAACTTGGAAAAATTCCAGATGCTAATATCTGCTTAACGAAGAGTCACTATCAAGAGTAACACAGCAAAAGGACTTGGGAATTGTTTACGACCATAAACTAACTTTCAATTATCACTACGAAGCAGTAATTTCAAATGATATGAAATCACTGGGTTTCCCAATTCGAACTTGCAGTGAATTCAATTCCCTGGAAGCCCTTTGTCTGTTGTACAATACGTTAGTCAGAAAGTAAGAAGTCAAATTTAGAATTCATATCACCAACAAACAATTTCAGCAATTGAGATGGTACTAAAAAAGTTCTTAAAATACCTATTCTACAAAAAATACAAATGCTACCCTAAAAGACATTATAGTTATGAACTCCTTCTGAACGAAATCAAGTTACAATCACTGAAAAAGAGAAGAGATATCGGTGACCTATTATTCATACATAAGATTATTCATAGTTCCATAGATTCTGCGACATTACTTTCACTAATTGATTTCAACATAACACGACTAGCCTCCCGGTTTCCTAATACTTTCCACCTCAACACTCCAAATACACAACAGCATTAAAAAAAACTTGGAAAAATTCCAGATGCTAATATGCTGCTTTGAATCAGGCCCAAATATATTTTCATTTAAAATGATCATTTCGTTTTTTTTTTTGTCATCAACATACTTCTCACAACCTTCTTATATTTCTATTTTTCCTCCAAATGAAAACATGAAAGTGGATAAATATTATATTACAACGATCAACGAAGTCATTTGTCTTGTATTCTGTCAACGTCTGTTGCTATGCTTGACGCTTCGCCCTGTCCTTCTCTCTTGTCTTTCCCAAAATGGCCATTTGAAGATGAAACTCGTTTGAGTGAATTAAAGTAAATACATTTTTCCCAAGTTTGTGCCAATGTTGAACCTGATGATAGTTGGGCTCTATTGGCTGTTTAGTCGGTTCAAAAATACAAGTATTCCTTTACCGGACTGATTTTTTGCCAAATGACTCCACAGCTCATTAATTTTTATTTTTATTTCATGATGTGATTTCCACATGGTCTCATAAGTATGTTTGTTTTCCAACAACTCATTGTTCCTCTGTGAATTAAATATCTTTTCCGTCGACCTCGTATTAACGACTAAGTTTAATGTATATGAAATCGTTCATTAATGACCACTATTATTAATGGACGATTTGTCTATTAATGCACGATTGTTTTATAGGCAACCAAACATACACCGCGTGCATTCATTGTTCATGCTATAACTAGCGGAATCTGCATTTAAATCGAAAATATGGATTTCATCGACGATTTTCCGTAAACGGGTTAGCCTTTCTAAGTTTTTGACACGATTTTAATCCCTGTTTTCTAACAGAAGGAATTTATTTCCTATGTTGATCATTTCGACAAATGTCAAATGACACTAATGTCAGTAACAAGGCTACTGGGTGATTCTTAGCAGTTTCCGGATGGATGATGAATTCGCGAACCAAGTTTTCTTCATTGCAAGAGAAATGAGAATTATGGTCGACGGAAAAATTTTGTAACCAACTTGTATATTAAAAGGCGATTAATGATCTCGAACATTAACGCACTCGCTTCGCTCGCACGTTAAAATATCTCGATCATTAATCGTCCTCATTAATACACTAGTTGGTTAAATAACTATTACAGGTACCTACTCTACTTCATGTCCATCAGTACACAACTTCGTGGATGATAGTACTCTCCATACCGCCTTTTCTTCCAGGGCTCCAATACCAGCCAGGCAAATCAGAAACGAACTAGGAAGAAATGTTGACTACATAAATATTGACTTGGCAAACAATTCTAGAATGGGGATCCAATAGCTTGGTAGATTTCAATGCAAACAAAGCACAAGCATGCCTTTTCTCTAGAAAAACCGATCTCACTGTGCCCAACATAAGCTTTTCAGGAGTAACCAAACCTTTGAAGACATCCATTTCGATGCTTGGTGTTACTATCAGCAATAACCTTACTTGGGAAAATCACGTGAGATCAATTGCTAAAAGTGTATCCCAAAAACTTGGTTTTTTGTTTCGGGTCAGGAGCTATTTCACTTTCAGTCAGCTGCTTATGATCTATGAGGCACAGATCCAACCTGTCCTGGAATATGGAATACTGTTCCCATATTTGGAGTGCAGCTCCCAAACATTCCCTGAAACTGTTTGATTCTGTCCAAAAAAGGGCAATTCGTCTCGTGGGTGATGCCTCGCGCACAAATTCACTCACTCCTCTGGAACACCGTAGAAAAGTTGGCGATCTGGCTCTATTTAATAGATATTTTCATGGACGATGCTCATCTGAAATATCAACAATTGTTCCTACCTTGGCAGTCTCCGCGAGATTAACCCGTCGAGTTGAGGCTTCGCACCCCTTCGTGGTCACTTTGGAGACCTGCAGAACATCTATTTCCAAAGACTCGTTCATCCAACGAACAGCGAGGCTCTGGAACACATTGCCAAGGGAGGTGTTCCCCGAGGCATATAACCTCCAGAAATTTAAGGAGAACACCAATTCCTACCTTATTTCCCTTGGTTCTCACGATGTTCTCTGAACATCACAGGAAATATCCCTTTTCGTGTGCACCAGAACTTACAAAAAAAATGTGTCTGAAGATGGCTGCTTGAGCCGAAATTATACACAATACAATACATTTTGTGTAATATAATTTTTGTGGTCGACCGACTTGGTGTTATTCTGTTTCCATGACTTATACATTCATTTTGTGTTTTTTTACCGTTAAATGAATCATTTTCAGTATAAAAAGTTAATTATTATTTATTTTTCTACAAATATTTGTAGTAATTGAACCGTTTTCTGAGCGTGTAATGGTAAGTTGAGGAAAGTGAATCGATTGTGACATAACGGTTATGACATACCACAATGTCAGTTTGGCATAAAAGATATTAATTAATCATTAGTTACCAGAGACAAACATAATCATAGCTCACTAAGTTTTTTTAGTATAATAATTTGAAAATACACCCCTTTCATTTACTAGCGATTTTCTCTAAAACGGTTAGCTAATTCAAGAAAATGCAAGAGACTGAAATGTATGATTTTTTAGTGGCCAATTCAACGATGATGTTTGAATTCAAATTTTTTTGGAGGAAATAGAAAATGTTTGCCATCAAATCTGTATGCAACCCTCATTCACCCCTTTCGATTCGAGTTACCTTATTTTTGAATCAAGAAATGAATAAATCGTCTAAAAATACAAGTTCCTGTGAATTTTAAAAATATTTGATGCAGTATTGTAGCCACAATTCAAAATTTAAGATTTTTTTTGCGCATCTTGCGATGTCTGTAACTTGGAGGGGGTGGATTTTAGGACACATGTTTATAGGAAAAAAAAGTCTTATTTTGACCCCAGGAATATGTCATTAAAATATTTGTATTGAATTATATAACACCCTGTATAATATAAGTATTTACTCCGGATTTTCAATTTTGAGGCACTCGACGTTGAACGCAAATAAAATTTCGCCTGCGGGGCGTATTTCGTGCATACATGTTTTTGTTCGTGCATGGCCTTTTAGCTCATCCCCGATGGTGAAATGGTGCCACTGGCTCCCCTACTATAACGTCGTGTTCAGATAGATAGTTTCAAATAATGGAATATTTTGATTGCGACATTCTCGTAGAGTATTTCCCCCTTGTGATAATCTTTGTTGTCCTCCAGTTCGTATATAGGTGTTTATTGCCAGTTATTATAGTCTATAATCTCTGCATAGGGGTAATGTTTTATTACTGTTAGAGTTAAGTGGCCGCGAAAATGGTGCCTCTTTATACTATCATTAGTGCTTATCTAGTGGTTTCTACTTTCTCATTTCTAGTGAAAAATACCACAGCAGGTAGGCCATTATATTTTTTTCATTACTTACTTTTCAGTAAAAAATTCTCAAGAATTTCTTGGATCGATATATGACTGATTTCAGATTAAAAAATATATACTCCCAAGCGAGCATTTTTCTGCATTTGTTCGCCAAAATATAGCGAGCACAGAAACATCTCAGAGATGTTAAAAGTACGAAATTTCGAGACACTGAACGATGAATTGAACTTTCATAGAACAGCCAATGTCCGCCGCAGGGATGTCACAAAAATATCTTCTCCCTAGTTTTTTCATAGCCTTTCCATGGACACAACAAAACATTTTGAAAGAGTCTTGCGCACATTAAATCGCTGTAAATGAATCATTTTTGGGGTACTTTTCTGAAACCTCCTGTTCAAATGAACTTTTGCATTTGGATTTCATTTCCCTTGGAAAAAAAAATTATTAAAAAAGTAAAGTAAATGTATTCTCAATATGAAATTACCTTCATATAATCGGTTTCTAAAAGTAGTGCTTGCTACACACAGACATATATTATTAATTATTTGAAAATAAGTTTTCAATTTTGAAAATGTTCTGCCACATTGCATAATTCTGCATCTGCGGGAAGCTGATATGTCGTATTATTGATACATTTGTACTTTTATATTGATTATTACACTGAGGCCTCGAACAACACATATCTTGCATTTGATTAAAGGGTACCATACTGCACTACACTGTTTTACCACTAACCAAACCGATTTTTCAACGCCTCGACACGTGTTTCGCTAACTATGTCAGCATCTTCAAACTAAGTTTTAATCTTCTCCGGAAGATGCTAACATAGTTAGCGAAACACGTGTCGAGGCGTTAAAAAATCGGTTTGGTTAGTGGTAAAACAGTGTAGTGTATTATCGTGCCAAAGGTTCCAGTCTTCGATATATGGTACCATACTGAATTAATTGTCCGAAAATTGGAAAAAAAAATTATCTCTTGGATCGCACGAAAGGAAATACCTATAATGTTTATGGAACATTGCGCGTATCTAAGGAGGACAGGGAGAGGAGAAAGGTGTTGGATTTTTTTTCTTTTTGAGGTTATACTTAGGTTCTTGGGACCACTTGCAACGACGAGGTTAGCCTGTTACAGGCTAGAATGTGATCTTTAATCATCGTTTGTTATCCATGATATCACCATGAAATTGGCATGGAATTCCATGAAATTGCCATGAAATCGCATGAAAACTCATGTAAACAAGCATCATATAATCACCGTGATCATACAAACCCATCGGGCACAAAAATCCCTGGGATGTTTTGGGATGTTTTGAAAATGTTGGCATGAAGATGTTATTTTGAGACGTAATATGCACTGACCAAAGAGGTCTTTGAAGGATATTGAAGTATTGTTTTTCTTCTTCTGTGGCATTTCTTTGTTTGCCTACTGAGAGGTATCCCTGGGATGTTTTGGGATGTTTTAGAAATGTAGGCATGAGGATGTTTTTTTTTGAGGCGTAATATGCACTTGCCAAAGAGGTCTTTGAAGGATATTGAAAGTATTGTTTTTGTTCTTTTGTGCCTTTCTTTGTTTGCCCCACCACAACGTCTCATGCTTACGTAACAATACGATGAATTCTGATTTGTTTTCGATTTTGTTCTTCTTGTTCGCAATTGGCATTCGCGTTTGCAGCGTGTCACGCTTACATCACACTGCTAACGAACAGAAAGGAATTTGGTGAAGTTTATTGTGTTAGAAGACTTATTTAGTTTGTAATAATGACCATCAGATGCAAGATGTGTTGTTCGGTGCCTCAGTGTAATCAATATTCAAAAGTACGAATTCATCAATACACATCAGCTTCTCCGCAGTTGCAAAATTATGCATTGTGGAGAACATTTCAAAAATTGGGAAACCTATTTCCAATTATATGTCTGTGTGTAGTAAGAACTACTCAGAAACCGATTAAGAAGGTAATTTCATATCAAGAAAATATTTTTATGCTCCATCTATTTTTAATGCATTTTTTCATTCAAGGGAAATGGAATCCTAATGCAAAAGTTCATTTTGACAAAAGGCTTCAGGAAAGTACCTCGGAAATGGTTTTTTACAGCGATTTAATGTGCGCAAGACGCGTTGAAAGTGTTTTGTTGTGTCCATGGAAAGGCTTCAAAAAGAACTAGGGAGAAGGTAGTTTTGTGACATATCAACGACATCTCGATAATTGCCGCCTGCGGCGGACATTGGCTGTTCTATAATAGTTCTATTCATGTGTGAACAGAACATCGCAGTGGAGGTTCAATGTCTCGAAATCTCGTACTCTTAACATCTCTGAGATGTTTTTGTGCTCGCTGGGAATCATCATGAAATAACCGTGAGATGGCAATAGAAGCACCATGGCACATGAAACCGCACCATCATGCAATCACCTTGAAATCTGAATGTAATCATTATAATAACACACAGGCCATCCAATGGATGTCCATTTAAGGTCGAAAAAGTTTCGGATGTCCATGGACAAGAATTGTATATACCTACACTGTGGAATTTAAAAAAAATGCTGAATTCAATGAAACAGGATAATTAACCATTCCATTTCGAATTTGTCTTCATGTTTCGATGTCGAACCCATGAAACCTTTGTTTGTTTCAGATAACATAGTCTGTTACTACGTACCTGGCAAAATCGGTCCAGAAGATCTCGATCCGTCTCTGTGCACGCATGTCAACTACGCTTTCGTACATCTGAACGAAGATGGCAATTTAGTCATCAGAAGCCAGTACCTTGACATAACGAAAGGTATAAAAAATTCGAAGCAGAAATAATTAGACATCTATTAGTGACTTCGTGACGTGAATTTTCCCAGGTTTTTATAAGAGAACAGTCGCTTTGAAGGAACGCAACCCGATGCTGAAAGTTCTACTGAGTGTCGGCGATACAGCAGCCACCGTTTTCTCAAAAGTCGCTGCCTCGAACGTGACCAGAAGAAGACTTGTCGAGAGCACCGTACATTTTCTCGAAACCTACTCGTTCGACGGATTGGACGTAGACTGGGAGAAACCAACACCCGATGACGCTGTGAGTCTGACGTTGAATGCGACCGCAACAGCTGTTACGCTCGTTATAGTCAATCCCCTCCTATCACTGGTTCGACCAATAGCGATCGACTCGACGCTCCGCCCTTGCTCTCGATATTGGACGAGTCAAAGTGGAGGGGATCTTGGGAGTCGCTGCTACAATAATTCAGTGATGCCAACACGGCTTATTTACGGATAGAACTGGCCTTTTCAAGAGGAGTAGATGATTAAGCCATTCAAGAAACGCCAAATGTTTTTTCTGGCTTTATATATGACGATATTCTATCGAACTATACTAAATGTATGCAGAGTCACCGACTATTTGGAGTACGACTTCTAACATTATTGACATTATATGCCTTCATGAATATGCCACTTCTACCACGTAATAATAGGTGCTTCTGTTATCGACTAATGAATGACAGCATAATTCAATATTCAACCTTTTGTTATTTCAAAATGATGTTGATTTGATTCGATGAAAAACTATATTTGAATCCTTATTTACGAATCATGTACAAGATAGTCATGCTCGATATACTGAAACATTTACAAACGGCTAGTTGGAAGAACTAACATATGAACTCCTAACTCCTAAACACTCTGAAATAGCGTTTTCCACTAGGCATAAAATATACTCTTTGTATAAATATGTATCATTCAAAATTACACGTGATGAACAGAGACAAAAAATGTTGAGTGCGGAAGAAGTTCAGACGGGACGAGATCGAAAAAAAATTGCCTGCGGCGCATATTTTTCATGATCTAGCCTTCTTTAGCCATTTTTCAATAGCACATTAACGTTTTTCAACAGCTGATCGTTGGCAGCACAGTGCGTTTCGAAATGGGTGCACATATTTTATTGAATTCCTTCTTTTTTCCAGGATAATTTCGTGAATGTGTTGAGAGATCTCAGAAAAGCCTTTGACTCGCGAGGTTGGTTGTTGAGCGCAGCTGTCTACCCCAACCCATCTGCTGGATATAATGTTGTGGAAATTTCAAAGTAAGTCGGTACCTATCGCATATTCACCCATCTAGAAATAATAACACCACCGTCAGTCAAGATCAAAACATATCAAGAGGTATGATATTTCATAGCATATACGAGATATACTTTGGATGTGAACTAACAGTAATGACTGATACATTTTTTACTTGAGATCAATTTCAACTTGACATTTTCAATACAAGCGTCTAGTTAGACTAGTGAATCTTCAAACATCGAGGTCAAGTGACGTCACCCACATCACATGATACTTCGCTCTTCTTTATATTGGGAAACTACGAACAAGCGATAGCTTAGTGGTTTGTGTATCTGATTTCCACGATGGTGACTGGAGTTCAATCCCTGCGAGGCGTACATTTTTCTGTCATTTTTTTCACTCAATAAATTTTTCAAAAATATACTTTTCAGGAAAAAGGTTTTAAGGGTTTAAGACAAATTAGGTTGAAAGTTCTTTCCTTTTTCATGCAAAAGAGATATTTTATTCCCTCATCATATTTACCTTTTAGTCTTATAAACACGAATAACCTTCTGATAACCTTGAGGTTTGAAAGATTCAATGGTCTAGCTAGACGCTTGTATTTTTAATGACAAATGATTAACTTCATCTGCACATCGTGCTAAGTAGCTGGGTCTACCCTGGTAATTTCTTACGATTGTTGTATTCGAGCGTGTTGGCTACTGAGTATGAAGAGATTATCATAATGATCGATCTATCATTAAAGTTAGCAATTCCATATCCACGTTAGGAAAAAACATATACATACAACTTTCCTCACGAGACACCCTATTTAAACTACGAACCTCCCCGGAAAACCTCATTTCCAGATCCCTGCACATGATCAACCTGATGTGCTACAACTTCTACGGTCCCTGGGGCACCACCACCGGCCAAAACTCCCCCCTGTTCGCCTCCCCTCTCGACACCCCCTACGAGAGGGCTAACCTCAACGTGGCCGCCGCCCTTTCGCAATGGCTACGGGCGGGCGCACCCAAGGATAAAGTCAACGTGGGCGTGCCGTTTTACGGGCGGTCTTTCGCTCTCGCTAGCTCAGAAGAACACGGCCTGCATGCGCCGATCAAGGGGGCCGGGTCGCCTTCTACTCCGTCGTATTCAGAGGTATGGTAACGGTCAATAAGTCAGTGAGTCAGACAGTGAGTCCGTCAGTGAATCAGTCAGTGAGTCAGTCAGTGAGTCAGTCAGTGAGTCAGTCAGTGAGTCAGTCAGTGAGTCATTCAGTGCGTCAGTCAGTGAGTCAGTCAGTGAGTCAGTCAGTGGGTCAGGCAGTGAGTCAGTCAGTTAGTCGGTCAGTGAGTCAGGTAGTGAGTCAGGTAGTGAGCCAGTCAGTAAGTCAGTCAGTGAATCAGTCGGTGAGTCAGTCAGTCAGTGAGTCAGTAAGGATGATCATTGATCACTCAAACTACCAGTTTGTCATTCAGTAAGTCAGTCATAGAAAAACATAATGAGTCAATCGGTGAGCGTGACAGTCAATTAATGATTTAGTCATATAGTATGTTGGTTAATCAGACAGACTAATCATCAAAGAATGCGATATATCAAGGAGCTTGCTAGTCAGTGAGTGACAATATAGTAAAAGAATCTGTCAGTGAGTGAGTCAGTTGGCTAGTATGTTGAATAATCTATCAGACAGAATGTCAACCATTCAGTAGGCCAGTGAGTCCGTCAGTCAGTGAGTCAGTAAGATAGTATTTTCATGAGTAATTGATTGTGTTGATTGATTTGTGAGACATTCGGTCAACCATTCAGTAAGCCACTGAGTTCGTTAGTCAGTCAGTCAAGTATATTGATCAATCGGACCAACCATTTAGTAAAAGAAATGAGTAAATTAGACAATTTGTGTTCAAATCAGTGAGTTCACCAGGGATTAGGTGAGTCTATCAGTTAGTCATTTAATAAGTCAATGATGGAATGTGTGAGTGAGTCAGTTGATTCAATTGAGTCAATCATTCAGAAGACTAGCTCTCTATTAGCTGAAGATCTTTGATATTTTATTTTTCGTACTCTGGGTACCTACGTTTTTCGTATATTCATTACATACAGTTGCAAAATGAATTTGTTCTAAAAAAATTGTGTCATTATTTTCAACTAATTATGTAGAACAGTATTTTTTCATTCATAGATATGCACGGAATTCAAAAATTGGACAACCGTCTGGGATAAAGACCAGAAAAATCACTACAAATACACTAGTACGCAATGGTTGGGTTACGATGATGAGAAATCGATGAGATATAAGGTAAGATCAAGATGAGGTTGACATAAATTTGAAATGACGACGGACCTAGTTGAGATCCTCGAAGCACAATGCGGAGGAGGTGGTAGCAACTTTTATGGAAAATTTTCCAAGAACACATTATGAAATCACGGGTTGTTTTTGGAAATAATATGTGTTTCGCCAATTTAAGAAGAAAACAAATTACTTCATCACCAGCAAATTTTTTAAGTCAAATTGAATTTGAGTTCTTCTTTGATTGGTCAAGTGGTTATGCCACAGTGTTATTTGATGTGGATTATGGGTTGCATACATTCACGATAACTACAAGCGGTATTTTCGCTTAGTCGCATTCAAAAAAGAAGCGTACAAGTATATTACAGAGAAAAATTAACGGGCTATCGGGAATGATTGTTTACCAAATGTTGACAGTGAAGTTGTCATAGGTTCTCAAAAACACAAAGCCTTGGCTGAGCCAGTTTAACACGCCTAGAACTATATAGGATCCCGAAATCCTCTCTCTTTAATACTTGTACGCTATTTTATTGAATACGACTGTACATCGTGTTGATAAAATCTTCAAATGTTTGTAAGTACTACCCAGTTAACACACAGATTGATCCCAGAGAGGGCATCACATTCATGCCACACATCACATCCGTGACTTGAAAAGAGAGTCCCACTGAAATCACAATGACTGCTATTGCTATTCCGGACCCTTTTGATCATTTTGTGATTCACATTATGATGCCAAATAAAACTCACAGCACGTATTAAGCGATTCCTCATTCAAAAACAAAATTTATCGATTCCGTTTGTTACATATAAATAGTGTAACAATATAGAATGTGAGATTCCAGTGAGTCTCTCGGTTGTTAGGGAGCCTCACAAATTCACATACATTATAAGTTTCATGTCCAATAAAATGTGACGAATATTTCGAATATCTTGTAAACCAAAGTGTCCCCTGGCAACACCAATAATGATGTTTCCTTGTAATTCGCATTGTTACCTAGTGCAACATGAATGTGACCTCCCAGGGATGTTTGTGTTTACATGGTAGTTTGTAGGAAGAAAACGTTCGCGTTGTGATGCGGGATGACGAATAAGAATGTTTTTTTTTTCGGAGAATTGATGGTTGACTCGATACACATACGACATATGTAAAGAAAATCGCAGGTAATAGTTTATGTAACATGTGTTATAAAACGTCCTTTATATAGTAACGAGTATTTTAAGCACGAGCGCAGCAGAGCTGAGCAAGTGTTTAATAAACGAGTGTCTATACCCACTAAGCAAAGTTGAGAGCTATGTTGATGCAATGTTGGGGCAATGGGCTTATGTCACAAAAAAATTTCATTTCATAATTCGATAGAGCTCACCCGAACTAGCTCACTACCACAAACCGTTTCTTGCTGTGAGCTCACTACGTTTTATAAAAAATTATTGAAATCCCCGATTTTTCGGACCTCTGAAACGACACGTCAAAACCCTAATACTGAAACAAGACTATTCCAGACAGAGGTGAATTATTATTATTTATGTCCAAAAATAAAACATTCCAGTTAATTTTTCGATCGAATTATGTCGTCACTAATCATTTATGTATAAAAGGATCATTATAAACATGGTTTGAGTTAAAAGTTTTACTAAGGTGTATACGCCCATTATTGAAACGGACGTTCAGCAATATTGTAAAGGTGAAGTTTGATGATGTAGCGTTGCAGCAATATTACATGTTGCTGTGACATTGCTGAACGTCAGTTTCAGTAATTGCTACAACCTTGCATCAACATAGCATCCAAATTTGCTTACTTGGTAGAAGAGTTTATAAACGCGTTACATACTATACTTTTCCTACGAACTCATAATCCCTCTCTCTCGCCGACAAGACCCCATAATTCCGAAAATGTGATTAACCTACCTGCTAACCTACAAAATGATTCGAAGAGAATAGGAATTGAGAACATAATACGAGGTGTTATGGAAATAAGTGCACATATTCAGTACATTAATATGATGCAGTCTAAGGAATATTCCCATGATATCAGATTTTGTCTAATTCTTCTGATTAACGAGAAATTTCAACCCCAAAATTGAACAATTACGAGAAAAAAATCAAGTACAATTTAAATAATTGAACTCCGCGTGATTGTGCCTACCGCATGGAAATTTGAACAGAGGTGACGTCAGATTTGCTACAGTGTAGAACTTTGGGTGGAAAAAGGGATCTAACCTCAACTTTTATTTGTATGCCTCATTTTTTTTTATTAGTGCCATTCGATAGTACACTCCGAGCGTTCTCAGTGTTTGAAATATTTGCACTTATTTCAATGCCACCCTATATAATGAAACTGCATGCAACCAACGAGACACGTATAAGTGATATTGGTCGTAGATGTGTCTATACCTTTTCAACTTCAATTTCGGAATCGGTGAGTTATATTTCGGAAAAAGTAATCTCGATTTCAGAATTGGTTAGTTCGATTTCAGAAATGGTAAACTCAATTTCAGAATCGGTAAGATGAATTTCAGAAAAAGTCCATTCAATTTCAGAAATGGTAAGTTGTATTTCAGAATTATTATTGGTAGGTTCAATTTCAGAAGATGAAATCCTTTTATATGTGTGAAATGTTTTTAATTGCAAAAGAGAAGATTGTTTACAGTGGATGAACGGTGTTTGAGAGCCCTATGTTGAATCAGATTGAACATATATGGGGTGCCTTCAAGTCAGAAGTGAAGAGCTTCTTGCAAAAGAGCATCGCCAAAGGGTCATAGCTGGGGATCCGAACAGCTTGCTCAACCAGATAGAATTCAGACTGCGATGTCTTGAGGAATGTGCAGATCGGGTGCGTAGCACGATGCCCAATTCCCACGATGCCCAATTCCCACGATGCCCAATTCCTACGATGCCCACCTTCATGTCGACGATTACGAACATTGCCGAAGAGCGCAACGTTGCCAGGTCATGAGAAAAATTCAGAAAACACAAGATTCCCACCATGCCCACTTTTCATACATTCCCACGATGCCCAATTCCCACCATGCCCACTTTTCATAACTTCCCACGATGCCCACCTTCTTTAGATTCCCACCATGCCCACCTTTCATGCATTCCCATGATGCCCAATTCCCACCATGCCCACCTTCTTTGGATTCCCACCATGATAAAGGGGGGCATGGTGGGAATCGGGTATCGTGGGAATGCATGAAAGGTGGGCATGGTGAAATCTGAAGGAGGTGGGCATCGTGGGAATGTATGAAAAGTGGGCATGGTGGGAATCTAAAGAAGGTGGGCATCGTGGGAATGTATGAAAAGTGGGCTTGGTGGGAATCCAAAGAAGGTGGGCATGGTGGGAATTAGGCATCGTGAGAATGTACGAAAAGTGGGCGTGGTGGGAATTGGGCATCGTGGGAATGTATGGAAAGTGGGCATGGTGGAAATCTAAAGAAGGAGGACATCGTGGGAATCTAAAGAGGTTGGGCATGGTGGGAATGGGGCATCGTAGGAATGAATGAAAAGTGGGCATGGTGGGAATCGGGCATCGTGGGAATATATGAAAAGTGGGCATGGTGAGAATCTTGTGTTTTCTGAATTTTTCTCTTGGCCTGGCAACGTTGCGCTCTTCGGCAATTTTCGTAATCGTCGACATGAAGGTGGGCATCATAGGAATTGGGCATCGTGGGAATTGGGCATCGTGGGAATTGGGCATCGTGGGATGCTCCCGTGCAGATCATTCAATGAAAATGATAACACCTCAAATGTGTTTGCATTCTCATAATCATGTGCAACGCTATTTTCTTCCAGCGATTCGGATGGAAGGCATCTGTGGATAAAATTGAGATTATAATTATGTTATTGAATTTTTTTTGACAAGTTGAATATGGAAAATATGGTTTGTTAATCTCACATAGAATTGGAAACATTTCGAACAAATATAAGGATTTTTTTTGTTTACTATTTCTGAAATCGAACTAACCAATTCTGAAATCGAGATTACTTTTTCCGAAATTGAAGTTGAAAAGGTATAGTTCAGTCCACTGGATACATATTAAAATGGCTTGCTTACTAACCTTTGTGAATAAGAACGTAGAAAATAAAAATAAAAACTCTTCCAGAATCACAAAATTTATTGAGTTCTGTATTTTCTTCATCTGTTTTAGGCTCGGTATGTTGCATCTCAAGGTGTAGCTGGTATGATGATTTGGCAGATATCAATGGACGATGTGGAAGGCAAATGCACAAGAAAACAAAATCTTCTCAAGGTCATCAATGAAGAACTTCGAAAATCTAATCAATTCCCATTTGATATTAAAGTAGTACACGTTTAACTACTTAGAAAGAACATAATATGGTGTATATAATTCTAATGATAGCTAGTATACCTACAGGGTGGCCATTTGAAAACGACACAGAGGCTCTGTAGGTGGCCAGAACCGGATAATTAATAAACACTGGAACACGTAAACGTCGTCTACTACATTTTCGAGGGAGACATCGTTCTAAATTTTTCATCGAAAAGTAGCAACAACTTTTTTATTTCAAATGGAATGCCCGCCTTCATTTCACTGCAGATTCTCCCTGAAGAACTGATTTCATCAATGTATCACACTTTTTTCTGTATCGAAACTATTCATTATTGGTCACAACGGCTTTCATGTCCCCATCTCAACTTTCGATTAACTTTATACTGACATTTGATTGGGACAGATACAGGGTGATCAGAATTAGAAAATCTTGAACCATCACCCTTCATTTGTTTCAATTATATGTCATTAGATAGTAAATATTCAAAACTTAAGATGGGGACATATTAGCCGTTTCGACCAATAATGAATGACAACTTTTTTCAATATTGTATTCCTATTCCTTAATAATTTTTCATTCGGAAATATTGTGGGGGGTTATCACCACCCAACCACCTTAAAAAAATCGGCGCTACTGTTAGAAGCATAGATGTTCAATCACGAGATATTGTATGGAAAAAGCATAGACTCATTATTTACATAAAAAAACGTGAGAAGTGTTTCAAAAATTGATTTAGGTTTCTAATGACACAGTGGAGTAATTGAATGCCAATAATTCATTATCATTCCACTCGCCCTTTGCGTTACCCAGTCAACCTGCGAAGTAACAGTAAGTCGCAGGGAATACCAAAATAAAATCCCACCGAAGATCATCTTGGAGACCAATCATAGATGTACTAAGGATTTCGCTTTGTGGATATGAACATCCACAAATTGTTAGCCTTGCGAGTTCCTCAACTCAACTTCTTTGAAAATTCAATTCAATATTATATCGAGAAGTTTATATGAAGTGTGAATTGTTATTACTATGTCACTAATCTCTGGCAATATTTTTCGAATGTTGTATTTGTGACATTATCAGAAACAGAAATTGAAATAACGTATCTTGTATAAACTTCCATTATAACCAAGCAACTTCTTGAAGAAGACCTCTCACCAACTTTCTGAGATATCCCATTTGATGACACGTCGCAACTACCTATCGATTAACTTTCCGCCTGCATTAATTTTCACTGCAGGTACCTAATATCATTAATTCATTACGTTATGTTATGGGTATACATATTCACCTGAATATGATCAGGTATCATTGATATCAATAAACTGGAGATGCATGCATAATAATAATGATAATACTAATAATAATAATGATAATAATAAATAATAAATCGACATTATTTGAGAAATGTATACACGGATTTGTCCTGAGAAGGCGAAGATTAGCTAAATAGCAGATGATAAGTAAATGAACAATGTCCATATATATACCCAGATAGCACAGAACCGTCCCGAAAACGTCCTCAAGTCGTACACCTCGGGCATTGGAAACGTCCCCAGACGGCCATTTTAGGTACGGCGTACGTTTTCAGGACGTTTTGGGGACATACGATGTTACACAACCAGAGGTCCCTAGGACGTACGATGAAGGTCCTGTTCAGGTCTGAACGGAACCATTAATACCTGGATCAACGTTGATCCACCTTTTTTTTACTCAAATAGTTAACATAGAGACCTAGATAGGTTAAAAAAATATTATTTTGACCAAAAAAAATAAAATAATGTGCTACTACCGGGGATCGATCCCACGACCTTCAGATTACCGTGCAGATGCTCTACCTATTACTCTACAGAAGACTTGATTATATGTCAGAGTATACAACAATATATTATGTGTGAATGTTGATTGATCCTTATTCACATCAATACTTGCATAGAATTAGATGATCATGGCAGAGAATACCTGAATAGATGTTTTGTGATCAGGTACGGCTAGTAAAAAAGAATTGTGAGGATTGTATTATGTTCATGTTTGCAAGGTTCCTAAATGAATAGATATCAGAGATCGAGGGTAGAATAAATTATGTGCAATGATTTCAATTATCATTATATATACAGTTTTATTCAATCTCGTCCCTTGAAAGTCGATAAAGTCCAGAGTTGGACGTACCCAGTACATCGTAATCGTACGTACCCAGTGCGCCCAGAAACGGACGTTTTAAGTACGTCTTGTAAAGGTCCCGGACGTTCAGACCTAAATCGGGCCTAAACTGGACGTCCTCAGGACGTCGAGTGCTATATGGGTAAGCATGTGTAAAATCTGTGAGATTTTCTTTTCTCTTCACATTATATATTCTCGTTGAAAATATTAACACACAACGTGACGTTTGCTTGGTAATCTTGAATCAAATGTGAGCAAAAAAGGCCAATACACGTCAATTTTCAAATCCGGTTTTGCTTTCATTTTTAATATCATATGCGGCGCCCTAGAAGTGGTTCTCGAACCACTATGAATACTGGTAGGTCCCGCTCTTCCTAACCCCGTACTAGTTTAGACTTCTGGGTAGTTGATTCCCAACACCGAAGTTGCGATATACTTACAAATCGATAATATGAAAGAAAAAATAGGACTAATAATTTCGTGAGTAAAAATTCAAGGTCAATGCCATATACATATATTATATGAACATCGATTATCTACATGATAATTTCATAATTTTGATCATGTAGGTATACAGAAACCCAATAATAACAATGTTTGCCCCAAATCAAAAATAAATTCAATTATCTATTCCATCCTTTATACAGTAGTAAATATGTAACTGTCAAATTACAGAGTTGATCGAATATACTCTGAGATAGAATTATGATTTGAACATTAAAATGGAACTCCAGCGAATTACCCGGAATTACCGTTGTGATATTATTTGGGAATCACATCTCATAAAATATCAATATTGATGGTCGACGAAGTAATGAAAAAGCATACAAAGGAATGCAACCAAGCATTCAATATTCAGATATATTTCATATCAACAAATCAACATTCAACAGAATGTCGCATTGTGAAACAAATAATACTTCCTGGATTCAGTTACCATAGAGCTTCAATCGGAGTTCAAATCCAATCGCATCAATGTTTTGTTGACTTTCAAGTTAATGCCAGTCAGAAGTTCCGTGTTTGCTCTGTATGGTAACTAAAATAAATCCACAATGTGATGTCCTGACAACTCATTGGCGATGTATGTTGTTGCGGACATTTAGCAATCGCCAATAAATACTGGAGCACCTTTTTTGAATTCACAATGCGAAGTCGCACTTCACAATGATAATTCCCTACAACTTCCCTGCAACCAACACTGGTTAACTGGGTAGTCGAAATAATCGTTCGCATTAGTTTTTTGGCGCCACTAGATGGCGATAATAGTATTTTGATCGAAATGTGAATTCTGGGGCATTCATGCAAGAGTGCTTTTTCCATGTAATTTCTTGTGATTAAACATTTTCTTGTGCTTCTCACAGTAGAACGGAGTTTTTTTAAGGTGGTTGGGTGTTGAGAACCCCCCATGCAGATATTTCCGAATGAAAAATCATTGAGGAATAGGAATACAATATTGAAAAAAGTTGACTTACTATTCAGAATCAAATGGTAGTCTATTTTTTTCTTGAAAATGTGAATTGAGGGGTTTCAATTCATATAGCAAAAAAACTGTCCATTTTTTAGGAATGTCACTCGATGATTTTCTGATCAGAATCATTTCCTATCACTTTTGACAGTTGAATGGAATTCTTTTTTTCTTCGGTTTTTTCAAAATAGAGGTTGGAGGTAATGATGCCCCCCCATTAAATGGAATGAAAAGTTTTGGACTATCGTTCATTTTCTCAGAAATAAATGATCAATTCGATCAAAATGTGAATTCAAAACCCCCTGGCAAAAAGCTGTCCATTTTTGGGGGTTGCCTCAATGAAAATATTTTATATACAGGGTGTTTCAAAATTCAGTATCAAGATTTTAGGGGCGTATTTTTCAGGTCAAAATAAGACGTTTTTGTCCATAAACATGTGTCCGCAAACGCTTCGTTACCGATCTACAGAGCGTTAAAGTTAAACAAATACACGATGAGACATCCACCAACTTTCAAATAATGTCAAATGCTTCAAAACAAACCTAAACGTCAAAATGAAAATAGCAGTCAAAGCCCACTAATTCGCTTTTTCATTGTTCCGTTGAAAATTTTAATTAAATGTAGCGAATCACAAAAATTGATTTTACTTTTTTCTCGATAACGATCGCAGATGCGTGAAAATTACAAGAGACAAAAAAATTTATAAACAAAACAAAGAATTCATTTCGTATCTCAGAATTCACCAGCGGCGCACCACAAAAAAGTTTATGGGGTAAAAAAGGGCTTGACCCCTGAAAAAAATATCTCCCTGTAGATTCTCACAATCACTCGGCATGCTGGATGATGTAAGCCCTAGAACGTAACCTACATTCCAAATTTGATCTTAATATCTCAAAAATTGAAAGAGCTATGAAGAAAAAAATAAAAAAATCTTGAAACTTTAACGCTCTGTAGATCGGTAACGAAGCGTTTGCGGACACATGTTTATGGACAAAAACGTCTTATTTTGACCTGAAAAATACGCCCCTAAAATCTTGATACTGAATTTTGAAACACCCTGTATATTATAGAACCACATGAACTACGTCCTACCAAAAATTGAGAAAAATCCACCATATTTTGCGATTCGCATAAATTTTGCGTAATTCGTACAAGCATGAACATTGAACATACCTTAATCCGGTTCTGGCGACCTACAGAGCCTCTGTTTCGTTTTCAAATAATTCCCACTCATCTCCAATTTTGGACATGAAGAGGATATTGAGGATTCATTGCAATTAAAACAATATTTTTTTGGAAGTATAAATTGTTCAACAGTTTTTCACTCGTAATACAAACCGAAACAACAAGCTATACCAAAAACATGTGTGTTTTCCATACTGAAAGTTGCAAATCGATCTTTTTCTGCGTCCCACAAAAAACTACAAATACTAGTGACATCTTGAGAGTTTTTTTCGCCAATAGTTACAAGGCTTATTATTTTGTACCTACAAAAATAACTATTTTGAAACCTTCATTTGCAGCATGATAACTATTTTACTTTATTGCTTTAGTATACTGAGTGAACGCCTATTCGTGAGACGATCACGTGATCAATAATTCAATTTTTTTTCAAATTATTTGTCTCACTTAAATGTCACCCCCTCTTTTGGCTCTTTTCCTGGCGATTCCCAACATATTTTGGTAATTCGAAAACTATTCTGGAATTATGTTCAAAGAATTTCTCGATTCTGTGTTTATTGTTTCTTTATGTCAACAAAATACAAGATGACTAACATTTTTAATTTTCAAATGAAGAAAAGATTTAAATTTCATTCGATAACACTTAATTAATCATATATATTTTTATTTCGGAATCACCCTGTATTTTACTGAGCACAGATTCGAAATTTTTTTTAAAAATCATTCCAGATAAGTTCTTGACTGATCAGATCATGTTGAGAATCACGAGGATAAAGGCGGGTGACACATTCAAGTGGGACACCCTGTACGTAAACTAGGTTTATCTAAGGCTATAACATAAAATTGCTCTTATTTTACGGAGTTACTTTGCATGTCATACATTTTATTCCCGTATCTTCCATGAAATGTCAAATTTCAAGCAATGAGGGAAAATCAGATGGCACACAGTACA